CTCCGTTCGCGCGCCGCCGCCGCCGGGCCGCGCCGCGCCGCGGACGCGACGCGCGCCGACACGCGCGCGCGCGCGCGCGACCGGGGCCGCCGGGCGTCGCGCCGTACCGCCCGGCGCCCTAGGTGGAAGGCGGCGTTCGACAACAACCTCAAGGCGATGAAGTCGCTGCACTATTTCTACCGCAAGGGCGTCGACGGGTTCGACGCGTGCAACCGCGAGGACCGGTCCATGCCCACGCACATCGCGTGCCTCCGGGGCCACTGGATGGTCCTCGAGTGGCTCGCGTCGCTCCACTGGTACGACGGCCGCTTCGTGACGAACTTCAACCTGCGCGACGACGGCGGCCACACGCCCCTCTGGCTCGCCGCGGGCTGGGGCTGGGAGAAGTGCGTGCGCTTCCTCCTCACGCTGCCCCACCCGGTGATCCCGGACGTCCACGGAGTCACGCCCGAGCAGGCCGCGCGCCGCGTCGGCTTCCACGAGATCGCCGACGCGATCAAGATCCGGGCGACGGAGCTCGGCGTCAACTGCCCCGAGAACTCCTACTGGGACGAGCCCGACAAGCGCTTCTACGTCCGCGAGCCCGAGGAGGAGGAGGAGGAGGAAGAGGAGGAGGAGGAGGAGGACATGGAGTAGATCCACCCGTCGCCCCGCCTCCTTTTGTCCTCCCTACCCCCAAGGCCCCGACGCCCCCGCCGCCGGGGGGGGGCGGCGGGCCGGCCCAAGACCCTGGCCCGCGCGCGGCGCGCGAAGCGGCGCGCGCGAGCCACCCCTCCTTCAGCACGCTCGTTTCTAACACACACCAAGACACATGCGCGTTACGCGGCTGGTGCGTCCACCGCGGTCGCGCGCCAGGGACCCTCGATACCTTGCTCGGTTCAAGCAGTGTTCAAGATCGCATGCTTGAAGACTTGCTTGAAGAATTATTTGCCAGACCGCGGCGACGCACGCGCGATCATGGAGATGGAGCCGCCGTCGCCGCCGGGCGACGAGGTGGAGCTCGAGCGCGGCGACAGCGTCGCCGAGGAGAACGCGAGGCTGAAAATTGAGGTGCGCGAGCTGCGGGAGCAGATGCAGTTCTACCGCGAGTACTGGGAGAAGCACAGCACCAGCGAGGCCGTGGCGCCCGTCGAGGAGGACTTCCCCGAGCGCCTGCGCGCCATCGCCGACGAGGCGACGTGCGTCGCGTCCCTGCGGGACCGCGTCGCCAGCGGCGTGCCGAGCTCGGAGGCCGCGCTCGCGCTCGGGCCGAACGTGTCGCTCGAGTACACGCGCGACAGCCCCATGTTCCGGCGGAGCGCCGTCGCCTTCGAGCAGTCCTTGGACGGTTTAGGCGAGATGCTGCGGGAGCTCAGCCTGCGCGTGCGCGCCTGGACGAGGGCGCAGCGCGACGCGGACGCGAAGGGCCGGCGCGTCGCCGCGCACCTGCGGGATCGGAAGCACGCGCGGTGCCTCTTCTCCGGCGCGCACGCGTCGCTCGGCGACCTGACGGCCAAGGGCGGCTGCTTCGCCGACTGCGTCGACGCGCTCGTGCGGGGCCGGTCGGACCTGTCGGACCGCCTCGACGAGCAGGTCGCGGCGGGTTTGGAGGACTTCACGCAGAACGAATTGGGCGACGTCGCGTCGTTCCGCGCGGACGTCATGAAGCTCGGCGACGTCTACGAGCAGAAGCTCTGTGCGGTCCTGCAGCTCGACGCCGAGTCGCTGAGCGAGGACACGCTCGCGCGGCTCCAGGACGCGCGGAGCCGCTTCGAACGCGCGCGCTTCGCGCTCGTCCGCTACCTCAACGGCGTCGACGCGAAGAAGATGCTGGCCATCTCCGCGGCGCTGGGCGAGGGCGCGGGCGCCGTCAAGGTCTACCACGACGCGGGGTCGAAGCTATTGTGCGGCGCGCTCTCGGGCGAGGTCGAGCTCACGCGGCGCGCGCTCTCCGTCGAGCGCGAGCGCCACCTGCTCGACGAGGAGCTCTGGGACAAGGTGCTCGAGCGGTTGGAGGCGGAGCTCAGCGGCGAGCTGCCGCCGCCGGGCGCGCCGCGCGGCGCGCGCGCCGCGCCCGCGGACATCGCGCGCCTGACCGCCGCGCCGACGTGGTCCGCGGCGCTCACGACGGAGGTGCTCTCGAAGTCGAGTCTGCGCGCGTCGCGGCGCGACCTCGCCCACGCCCGCGACGAGGGCGTGCTCAAGCAGGGCTACCTCCACCGCCGCGACGACGGTCTGGGCGGCGCGCTCGTGAGGCTGGGGTTGGCGTCGTCCAAGCGCAAGTGGCACCGGCTCCACAACGGCGCGCTCTACGTCGTCGAGGACTCGGCGGACTCGACGACGGCGGAGGAGCGCAAGGTCTGCGACCTGCGGGGCTGCACCATCGCCCGGGGCACCCACGCGGGCGGCGCGACGACGGCGGGCGTGCTCGCGGGCGCCTTCGCCTTCGGGGTCGTCAAGCCCGACGGCCACCGCCTCGCGCTCCAGGC